AGGGAGGAGAGAGGAGGGAGGAAGAGGGAGGAGAGAGGAGGGAGGAAGAGGAAAGGGAGAGAGGAGGGAGGAACAAGAGATCTGTGTTGTGACTGCTGGATCAAAGAATTGCGCTCACCTTAGCAGGCAGCCATTGCTCTGATTTGCCTTCCTCATCAGCTTCCTCACTAAAACAAGCAGAAGTTAGAGTAGGGATGATTGATGATTATGTATAATTGACACACTCACTGAGCCTCATGCTGTGCTAAAGTCTGTGTCCTTAAGAGTAAATAAGACAGTTCCTTCCCCTCTGCAATTTATACTTGGGAGTAGAGATAACCCAGAAGTTTAATACAAGAACCTAGGACAGGATAAGAACAAGGCATGAGAAGATACCACGGACAGCAGCCAGTTAGCTGAGTATTTCAAGAGAAAAGTAAAGCCTTCTCCAAAGAGAATAGTAAGCAAGGATTCCAAGAATGAGTGGGAACTGACTAAGGAGAGAGGAATTTAGGTGAGTAGAACACCACATGCTGAGAACTGGAAGTCAGGGTGAGCAGAACAGACATGAAGTTGTAAATCAGCTGACAGGAGATAACATTATCTCCAGAGGAGCCAGCCAGAATGAGAAAGGTTGAATAACTTTGCAATCCACAATTAGTGACAGAATTTGGATTTGAAACCAAGTCTGGTCACAAAGCATTTTTATTCGCAGCTCCAATACACTCTCCTTCCAACACTTGCCTCCCCCAGAACTTGGTTTTTAATTCAGTACCCAGGCAGAAATACAGTCCTGACTAAGGTGTCCTCACCTGCAATAAGAACATGTACTTGTCATTAGTGAGCATCCTTTTTTGCATAAATCATTTTCTGGATCTTTAGACAAGATTTCAATGGATAGATCAGATATTTTTCTTTTGGAGAAGTTCAGAGTAGAGATTGCAAGGTACTACATTCAAAATCAACTGATGAATATTTGTGACTTAAATTTAATATTACATCCATATATTTCATAAACTGACAAACAATAAGGGAGAAGGACTTCCTCTCCAAAGCACTGTGATGTCACTACATTATCAGCATTTTCTTTTTATTTGTTATTTTATGTGTATGAGTGCATTGCTTGCATGTATGTAAGTGCACTGGTGTCGTGCAATACCCAAGGCGGTCAGAAGGGGGCGTCGGATCCCCTAGAATGAACTTATGGACTGTTATTAGTTGCCATGTGGTGCTAGGAATCAAACTCAGGTCCTCTGCAAGAGCAGCCAGTGCTCTTCACCTCTGAGCCATCTCTCCTGTCCCACTATCACCATTTTCATTGCCAGAAACTCAAATTAGCTTTTCCTGCTGGCTTCAGTGAGGAGGGATCACCTTGATTCTAAAGGTTTATAAAGACTCCTAACAAGCTAAAACCAATGGGATTCTTAGTAGTCAAAGTAGACTGGGCATGTTTGTGCTGAAGTTCTGCTTGCTTAAGATTTGGATGATAATGTGAAGAAAAACCTAGTCTGGCCAAGAAGCTCTATAACACATAGTCCCCAATTCCAAGAAACATAACACATTGAAAGTCCTGCAAAGCAGTTACCAGTGCAGCTTTTTCCCTGAGTGTATGAACATAAATGGACGCCTCATCTTAACACTGCTTCCATTGCGTAAAACAAAGCATCAAAGAAACATGATAGCCAGTCATGGTGGCGCGTGCCTTTAATCCCAGCACTTGGGAGGCAGAAGCAGGCGGATCTTTGTGAGTTCAAGGTCAGCCTGGTCTACATAGTGAGTTCCAGGACAGCTGGGGCTACAAGGAGACCCTGTCTCAAAAAGACCAAAAAAAAAAAAAAAACACATGATAAACATTACCAAGTTAAAAAGCTGGGTGTTGGGGGCGGGGCAGGGACGGCTCCGTTAAAGCACTTGCCTGCAATCCTGATGACCAGAGGTCAGTTCCTAGGATCAACATGGTAGAAGGAGAGAACCAACTCCCTAAGTTGTCCTTTAACGTGTGCATTCCTACATTACAGCATGTGTATACTCTAGATGATGTCTATCATTCTGTGGCCTTCGTGGGATCAAATATTTTGACTTTTCATCTTTTAGAATCTTTGAAAGCAATACTGTCTTTTCTCTTCATTTAGTGGTCCATCACCTACAGAGAAGTTAAAATCATTGCCCAAAGCTCTTACCACCAATACCACCAGGTATTACAAGCTAGATTCAAAGCAGCAATAAATAATACAGTTTGAAATATGAGTATCTTCCCAACAGCTAGTCTCATAATAACCAAAGGAGATCCACTGAATTCAATCCCTACTCCAGTCAGCTTTCTACTTGAAGTCAGAATTATTGCTTGCCCTGCCAGATTCTTTTAGAGAGAAGCTACCTGCAGTACACATCAGAATGAAAAAATGCCAGAATGTCTGGGACCAACTCAGACACTTAGGGAGGAGGGACGTGTATACATTGCTTCAGTTTCGTTCAAGGAGCGTTTGTATTCCTAACCTTACTCTATCACTTGCCTATAGAGTTTTCAGAAGTTAGACAACTGCACACTTACAGGTAGTCTCTGGTTTTCCTCTTGCCCTTTGATTGAAGGAATACTTTTCTATAGGACTCTGGTGTGAATGGATTGACATTGACCAGAGACAATGAGGCCTTCTCGTCCATGAGGGGAGTAGGTGTGAGTCTTAGATGCTTAGAGCTCCGGGCAGAGAGCTTCCCTGTTGAAGAAATCTCTGGCTGGCTCAGGAAGCTCTGAATGAGGATGATGAAGGCAAGTTAGAGTAGGGTTACTTTAGAAAGTTCCATGTCAGATAGCCAGTTGATATCTGAACCAAAGACGTTATTGCTAAAGATCTTAATGATTATCTGGTTCAGTGAGAACTGGCTGCATTGTACCTGTTGTTATCTGAAAACACAGAATCCCCGTCTCTTGTTTCTAAATACTCTGAGGTTAACACCGGAATCAATACTTTCATTAAGCTCCATCCCTTGCCCTTGCCACTTCTATGAGTTGTGAAACCCTCCATTGTAGTCCTGCCTTCAGTTTTCAAAGATGAGAACATTACATTGAGATGGTCAAAAATCATTCTATTGACATTCTGATCCTAATGTTCTCATATATTAATCCCCCCTCAATTAGTCAATCACAGTGCTGTATGGTGCCTACTAAGTACCGCGTGCTGGACTATATGCTGGGACATACAGAGATCAATTCTAGCTCTTAAGAAATAATCTGTTAATCAGTAGATAACTGATGTCTTCAAATTAATCATTTTGTGAGAGGTTTCTTGGATCTAAATATGAAAAATGAAGTTCCCAACTTCACTTAAAATGTTAAATGATAAAGGCTCCATAAAGCGAAATAGGGAGATTGTAATACCCTAGCCAGGCATGGTAGTACACGCCTTTAATCCCAGCACTCAGGAGGCAGAGGCAGGGGGATCTCTGTGAGATCAAGGCCAACCTTGTCTACATAGTGAGTTCCAGGACAGCTAGGGCTACAGGAAGACACTTTCTCAAAAGAAAAAAAAAAAAAAAAAAAAAACCCAACCTTCTAAAATGGTCACTTAAGATTTCAGGGCTTTGAAATAGCTATAACCAGCTACCAATACACAGCAGAATGAACAAGACTTTTCACTCCAACTGGACCTAGACACAATTAAACCAAATATAAGGTTCAAAAATAAAAGGTCTTTTAAAAATATTTTTAATAAATTTTCTAAAAAATAAATTTTTAAAAACTTTATTTTCATTTTATGTGTATGCCTGTTTTGACTGCATATATGTATGCGTACTGCATGTATGCAGAGCCTGCAGAAGCCAGAAAGAGATTTCTGTATCCCCTGGAACTGGAGTTACAGATAGTTGTAAGCTGCCATGTGGGTTTTGTGGAGGAGAACCAGGTCCTCTGCAATAGCAGTAAATGTTCTTAACCACTGGTCCATTTTTCCAACCCTAAGACAACGATACTGAGATAGCAGAATGCCATTCGATCCAAATGTCCTTCAGGTTATTCCTAGCTCCTGAACGTCCCTCATCTTCAGCCCTGTTCACACCTGTCCTAGTGCAGGCCCTTCTCTGCCCTTGGCAGAACTCTTACAATATACGACTCGGTCTCCAGGCTTCCCTATGCTCTAGTCCACCCTGTACATGAAGCCAAGACTTTTTAAAATGCCCCATAACTCAAACCCACATAGTGGTTGATTTAACACTTTCAGAACAAAATCTTTGCCCGTCTCTTGCCTGCCTAGTCCTGCCTCATTTCCTGCCTCTCTCATAGACTCCTGTCACACTGAATACTGTGAACTTTTCCAAGCATGGTCTTCCCACTCTGTATTTTAGTGGATACTTTTTCCTTTGGTTAAGGTTCTCATGTCACTTTCTTTGCTTGCATAATTCTAATTCATTCCTTCAGTCTTTTCTCAGATAATTACTTCCTCTGGAATGTCTTTCCTTATATTTTGAACATTAATTCCTAATTTCTGTTCCTCATGCTCTACCCTTCCTCCAGGTCACATGGTCTGAACTTTTATTATTGCTTCAGTTGTTTACTGAGGGCAGCAAATGGTGTTTTCTAGCAGAGTGTCTGCTAACATAGCAAGATAATAAGTTGTGAATGATCTGATGAATGAAATATATATGCATTCAGAGCAGGCTGCCTTGCCTGACACTCTTACTCAGGCCCACTCTCCATCACCTGTTACAACTATACCAAGCTTCATTGCTTTTCCATGCCCCTCCCCGCCCCTCTCTTTCTTTCTTTCCCAGTCATGCTGCTGAGAGTCAGTATTTACAGAGAACTCTCAAAACCCTACTCTCCCCATCTTCTGCTATATTATGAGGTGGCTGAGGGCAGAGACCTTATCATGTGCTCCTTACCCAGAGTGAGTTCTCAAAAAGAAAAAAATGGATAAACAATTGGTAGATACTGGGTCCACTGAAAAATCTGCTGCTGGACACCAGTGTCTACTAGTTTGTGTACAGTTTAGACCAGAAGCTTAGTATTTATTTCGTTAGACATAGTATGCACTCAGCAGGCACTACAGAGACCCACTGAGAGTGTCTGTGGGCAAGCAGGATGTCAGATGTTATCATAACCATCTTAAATGCCTCAAGCTGGGCCAATGCCCCTCCTAGGGATCACAGAATCTAGTAGATGGAATCTGCACCAGACCCTGTCTTAACAACATAAGCAATGTAAGAACAGCAGCAGCAAGAACAAAGGAATGTGAGAACTATTAGCAGCCACTGCGGAACTGCTGCCACTTTTTTTTTTTTTTTTTTTTTTTTTTTGAGCCAGGGTCTCACTATGTAGCCCTGACTGGCCTAGAATTTACTGTGTAGACCAGGCTGACCTCAAACTCACAGAAATCGTCCTGCCTCTACCTCCTGAGTACTGGGATTAAAGGCAGATGCCACCACCATACCTGGCCCACCTTCAATTCTTAAGGAAGTATCAAGATACTTCTTTGTTCATAACTAGGCCAAAAGCAGAGATGACTTCCCTGGGAGGGCAGCCGCAGCAGATGTGCGTTTGACAGTGAACATGGGCACTCCTGTATTGGAAAGCATTGGTGAACAACTAACCGCCCAGAAATACAGTCAGCTGCTACAAGCGAGGAACATCAGACCAAAGCGAAAAGATGAGGTATCTGGTCCTGTTTCTGAAGTTGGCTGAGCTATAAGACAGAGTGTGAACTTGACTTTCACATCTATAAAGTGCACAGGCTGGCTATAGACCTCAGTATGTCTTGCAGTTCCAATATTCCTTAACTAGGAACTTTTTCTCAACCAAGGTTTATTTTTTAGCCAATACCAACTAGTTATTGGCTTAGGGGAAACAAGTGGCAAGACACTATTTTTTTCTGGTAACTTTAAACTTGCCTTCATTTCTACTAATAAACATGTAACTGAGGACACATCTTGTCAAAGAAAAGCCTGTTACATACATGTAAACCACCAAGACTTCTTCCCCTGTCAGCTAACTGACCCAAAGGAGACTTGATCTCAGAGACCTGGGGCCTCCTTTCCACAACTTACTTACTTTGGGAGTGGAAGGAGGGTCACCGAGCAGAAGCTGACTTCTGTGTGGTGGTGCTGGTGTCTCCGGACATTTGGGAGGCTCTGAAACTGGAGCCCGCAGAGCAGGATCTGGACTGTCATTGTCTCTATTTTGAAAGGTATCTTTGAGGGGTGTTTGGGGGTCTTCCAAGTCTTCATCCTTCTCAGACCTTTGGCTGTGGGCCAGACCGCTCTCCTGTGCCGTCTTCTGCCCTTCATTTTCAGTCTCTTCTTCACAAAAGGAGAAGTTTAATTTCTGACTCAGGCCCTTGTTAGGCCCTCTGTTATCCATCTCAGTGAAGGGCTTACAGCGTAGGCAAGGCGGTGTCTGAGAAGAGAACACCGTGAATCTGTGGGGTTAAGGAGAAAAACCCACGAAGTTCCACAATTTTAGCCCGCCTTTCCCTCTACCAACCAACAGCTGTGAGATACCCTGGACACGTTCTCCCTTAAGTACCTTAAGATCTGCAAGGCCTCAGCTTACCCTTATTTCCATTCTGATTAAAGAAATCTCCAGCAACTCTCCAAGCAATTAAATCCAATTCCTATACAGAACTCTCCCAGATATCCTACAGAGTCTCCCAGTGGCCAATTGCTACAAAATACTAATAAGGACAGTTGGATTCCTTTAATTTACTAAAAATGCCCATTAGCCGATTTGGAGCAAGCTCATTATCAGAAAGAAGTTATTGTCACTCTTTCACAGCTGCCATGCATAAACATCATTCTTTACTCTTCCACGCCACACCCATCCAATAGCTAATAGTAGGTCAGTAAAATTCAGCATCACCTGGCTATCATAATGTCCTTAAACAACCTTTAGCATGTCTTGACTGAAGTTCATATCCCTGAGGGAGTCACAGCTTATATTTTTGCCAAACACTCTTTCCCTAATTTGAGTACTCTCCCTCCCCACCAAATACGAGCAATTAAAGCTTTGAGGAGCTCGAACAATTTTTCAAAATTCCATGTGTGTTTTGCCTGCATGTATGTATGTGTACGACATGCATGCCTGGTGCCCACAGAGACCAGAAGAGGATGCCTGACTCCCTGGAACTGGAGTTACAGACTGTTGTAAGACACCACGTGGGTGCTGAGAACTGAACCCAGGTCCTCTGCAAGAGTAGCCAGTGGTCTTAACCACTGAGCAATCTCTCCAGCCCCACTGAACAAATTTTTTAATTGACTGAAGAAAGTTTAGAAAGAACAGTGATGTCTAGAAGCAGATGCTGATCATTTTAAATGACAATTTCTTTCCAAAATTTGCTGTATTTTATGAAATATTTTTATATAGTTTAGGTATCTTCGATATGCATTATTTCATTTATGTCTCAGAAGCCACTGGGGAAATCTTAAAACCTCTTTGAAAAACAAACTATCAAAGGATCCCACAATTTTTCTTCAGATGATATTCCCAAAGGAAATGGAAACAGCATCTCAAAGAGATCCCCATATTCACTGCAGCACTGGTCACAGTAGCTATAGAAACTACTTATGTCATTACTGGATGGAAAAATTTTCTAAAATGTGGCATATATATCCAAGGGAATACTCTTCAGCTACAAGTGAAAGCGGCCCATCAGTAATCTTTCCTTTGGCCTCCCTGCCCCTGCCACCCACATAAATGGTCCCTGATAGTAAAATGAGCCCATAGCATGTAATAACTCACCGCTCACCTTTGTCAGAGGCTCAGCACTCTATAGCTGACAATAAAGAGCCACCCAAGGGAAAAGAATCCACAGGTTACCAGAAAAGAATTTACCATCAACAAAAATTCTGTGTCTGGAATATAGCCAACAAGTCAGATGATGGATTCCTTTCTAGAGCCATGGCAACTACTGGTTCTCACATCCCATAGTCTGACACTTCCTGTTCTACAGTTGTCTTTCGCTTCCAACAGAGTAGGGTGTGACTCGAAACACTAAGTGACTTGGAGACCAGGGCACAGGGGCTGGTTGGATGGGAGTTGCCCAGTTAGCTCAGATTATCACTGTTTACCATCACGATCTGCCTTTTCCTCTCTCTCTCTCTCTCTCTCTCTCTCTCTCTCTCTCTCTCTCTCTCTCTCTCTCTGTTATAATTACAAATATATTCAGGCATTTATGACTAAATTGTTTGCCGAAGGAGGCGACGGCTTAGATCTTGTGTTATCAGTAGTCATTCTAGTAGGAACTGACACCACTCTTTTCCGTGCACTGTCACTCAGGTGGGATTCTGGGTTTGGGGAATACGAGAACTGGGCTGCCACCGATCCTGGTGACCCAAGAGGATCCCTGGAGTTTCACACCCTTCCTCTGGCTTGGGCCTCACCACTGTGGTTATCATGCTTACACTGGGGTTCATTCTTAGTCTCTTCACATGATGACAAATTCTAGCTCTGCATTAGTGCATCCATCCCAGTCAAAAGGTTTCCTGCCACAATCAGGATGATGTGTTAACAGGGACCCCATGTTATCAATAGGCTCAAAAGGAGAAGGTCTTTTCCATAACACCTGACACATAGTAGATGTTCAATAAAACATTTATGGATGGATTTGGAGAAATAATGTATCTCAATTTTGTTCGAAACAGTCAAGTATTTCACCTTTTAAAAAACATTTTGAATGTTGTTGTATAGAAATTGTTGCCCAGGAAAAAAGCCAAGATCACAAAAGTGAGATGTATATGAAGGAATCCATCCTTGTATGTCAGGTTGCAGTCACGTCCCTAAACCTTGTGCTTAAGGGAAGTTCTCTTCTTGAAAACGCATTGCCAAGTGATAAGGAGGCTCCTAGACTCCACTCTTGATTCTGGAGTTTTCAGAATGCTGATGGGAAGAACTGAATCAGGAAGATCTATACCTATTCAGATTGATTCGCAATACATGAAAACTCTTGTTCATGTTTGGCGTAGACTCTTCTTTTGCAAACATATAAAATTAAAGCCAGGAACATGAGATACATTTGAAGATGAGAGTCTGTCTCTCCAAGGAAGGACATGTTGACTGACTGGCCCTCAGGAGAGAGAATTGTGAAAACTTACCTCAACAGGCCAGCATGAAGTTCTGCCACATTAAGACTGAATTAATGTCATTTAGACAATCCAAAAAGCGAGAGCAGACTGTCCTGTATTTGATGGGACTGCCTGCATTGCAAGTCTTTGAGAGGTCTAGTTTCCCATCAGTACTCTTTGTTTAAATTTTTCTTATGAAAATGTTCAAACACCCCCAAACTAGGGAAGGTAGTATATCAAGGCCTGACACACTATAACCTACCTTTAGACATCACCACAACTTAATAACCTGATTGCATTTGTATCTTCAAGTATGTTGGGAGTGGGTGCTAGAATATTTTAAAGCAAATCAATGATTTCATCTCATTTCACCCATGCCAATGGTAAAATTCTCTGGGTTAATACATTAATGTGAAATCTGAATTTAATTAGCGAATACATCATGAAGCAGACAGTAAAGAATTGCTTCTTTTACCCTCAGTTTCCCCTTGACTAGAACTAGAAGGTATTCTTTAAAATAATTGTTGTAGGGTCTGGAGAAATGCCTCAGGGGTTAAGAACACTGGCTGCTCTTGCAGAGGACCAGTTTGGTTCCCAACACCCACCTGGCAGCTAACAACCATCCAAAACTCCAGTTGCAGGATCTGACACCCTCTTCGGACCACTATAGGTATTGCATGCATGGGCAGACAAATACATGGAGGCAAAATACTCATATATATAAAATTTTTAAAAAAAGTTTAAAGTAACTGCTGTAGCACAGACATGCTGTTTGCCAAACCACATATACAGTATTCTTCTTAGAACAGGGAAAGATTTCCAAACTAGTGCCCATTAATTTAGAGAGTCATGATATCCTTCCCATACTTTTAAGGAGATTTTTAAAATTTTTATTTATTATTTTTATTTTATGTGCATGCATGTATTGCCTGCATGTATATAAGTGCACCCATGTTGTACAGTGCCCACGGAGGTCAAAAGAGGCTGTCAGATCCCCTGGGACTAGAGTTACAGACAGTTGTTAGCTGTCATGTGGGTTCTGGGATCCGAAACCTGGCCTTCTGCAAGAACAACCAGTGTTCTTAACCACTGAGCCATCTCACCAGCCCCAGGAGCAGATATTTTTAAATTACTGTACTGAATCACTCACCTAACCATTTCTCTGTGAGCCGTGAGCATTTCCAATTTCCTTAAAATTACAACAGGCAATAGCTTACCTTTGTGCCCTACACCAAGGCCAGCACTGCTGCCACAGAGATGAAGTCTCTACACCTCCTTCCTCACTTCATATATATGGGTGTCTGTCTCTCTGATTCTCTTACTCTCTCCTGTTTCCACATACACATATGCAAACACACATATACACATACATGCTACTTTACCTGGAAGAAATGACTGAGTATAGAACTACTCATTCTCAGAGCAGTATTCCTTATGGCTGTTGACTTATTCTCTCTTCTGTGCCCTAGGGAACAGGCTCTGGAGGTCACTAGTACCTTGGTCAAACGTTCCTGGCTACTTCTTCATGCTTCTGAGTCTGATTCTACTGCAGAGTCACCACACTGAAGTTTCACCATCATAAAACGTCTTTTGCTTTGCTTTGCTTTGGTTTTTGAGACAGGGTCACAAATTCACTGTGTAGCTGAGGGCTGGCCTTGAACTCCTGATCGTACTTCTTCTACCTTCTGAGTGCTTGGATTAGAGGCATACAGCACTATACCTGGCTTGAAATACTTTTTATGAGTTTTTGAAGATTGCGATATAGTAGAAGTAAAGCATTCCTACGGGGATAACCACTACAAACTCTGAAAACTTAAACACTTTCAAAAGTGGTTGTCTCCAAGGAGAGAGTGGAATGAGGAGGAGGGTTAGAGAAGGCAATTGCTGTTCATTCCATGTCTTTTGTGCAAATTGATCATCTTTGTTCATGTATATATGTATGTATATGTCCATGTTTATACAGGTACATGTGTGGGTGCCTGTGGGTGGCAGAACACCCTTGGATGTCATTTGTCAGGCATTATCCATTTTTCTTTTCCCCTCTCTCTCTTTCTATCTCTCTCTCTCTTTCTCTCTTTCTCTCTCTCTTTCTCTCTTTCTTTCTCTCTCTCTCTCTTTCTCTCTTTCCTTCCTTCCTTCTTTCTTTCTTTCTTTCTTTCTTTCTTTCTTTCTTTCTTTCTTTCTTTCTTTCTTTCGACAGGTCTCTGGCCTGGAACTCATCACATCATCCATCATGTAGCTGAGGGCCCCAGGGATCCATCTGTCTCTGCCCTTCTGGTGCTGGGATTACAAGAGCGCACCACCATGTTTAGTTTTCTTATGTGGGTTTTAGGGATCAAACTCAGGTCCTTATGCTTAGAAAACAAACACTTTACCAACTGAGCTATCTGCCCAGACCTATCAATCCTTTACCATGAGTATCTACTTATTAAAATGTTTAAAATAATATCCAAAAATATATAAATAAATGCATAATTCTTAAACAATGACTCCATGAGGCACTTGAATGACTTTGCCTGCATCTTTTCATTTCTGACCTCTGAATACTAGAATTCCCTGGGTTCAGTTCCCTGAACTTCAGCCTATTTCCTTAAAATATCATTACCGGAGAGGCTAGCCTACATTAGCCCAGTAACCCCTGAATTCATACCTGCAGCATCTTATCAAAGCTTACTCTGCATACTGAGTGGGCATCTTTTTACATTTCTCAAACTTCCTGTCAAATCTACTTCCTCTGCATTGTTTTCCTATCTCAATCAATGGAAATGGGTGAGAGATGCCCACTCCCACGGAGGTCCCATATCCAGTCTACTCTGGTTTCTTCTCTGGAAACAACAGGGCCTAACAGGGCTCCCTTGGCCCCCGCTTTGCCGCACTCATTCTGTTCACTATCTAGTAGCAAATGAGTTCCTTCTAAAAAGTGAAATTATGACATGTCTGTCTCCAAACCTTCCAGTGCCCCCCATCTCACTCAATACAGACTCAGTCTCAGGATGGTCATCTGAGCCCCTAACCCACCCAACTCCTGCCATCTTTTCTCGTAAGCACTGGTGCCTTCAGTGCCCCTGCAGATACCACAGTCGTTCCTGCCTCAGAGACCTCAGCTCCTGCCGCCTTGCTCTTTCTCCCAGTGCCTCACTTGCTCCTGCTCAAAGGTCATGTATTCAACATGTCTTCCTTAAAGCCCCAACCAGCATGCATCATTCATTCTTTTGTTCTGTGTGTCATTCTTTCCCAGCACTGGTGTTGTATTACTTATATATAGTTGTTCATTTTAAAAACTGTCTTCCTCATTCCCAAAAGAATCTCAGCTCTGAAAGGGTCTGAGCACATTTGCTTCCTGCACCATTTTCATCCCCAGTAACAAAGTGTGGAGCACAACAGGCACTAAGTAAATACTTGCAAAGAGAATCTCATGGTATTTTATCTATCTATGATGGACCCTACTAAAAAACAGATACCCTTTATGAGATTTTGGGTTTGTTTTGAACCTCAATGTATATTTGAGAGAACTAAAAGGGAGTGATGTGTTAATTTAAAAAAATTCAGTAATTCTGAACAGGTAAGCCTCTTCATACAACCTTGGTAACCTCTGGCCCAACCTAAGCCCGACCTCTGTGGTACATGATTTACTGTGCTTTAAAGAGAGCCCACACCAACAAGTGTCAGGGCATAGAGAAATGACTCGGGGGGTGAAGGAATTGCTAGTGTAGACAGAGACGGAATTCTATCTAGTGAGGTCTGGTGTAAAATAGATGTTACGAAGTAGGGAAGCTGGAGCAGGTAGGGAGTTTGAGACTGAAGCTAGGCTAGAGCCCTTCAGGATGTCTCTGAATGCTCTGGGTTTTGGGTCTTCTCAGAATCTGCCTGGCTAGGGAACTTCAGTTCACAGGACAGATAAGAGCAAAGCTATTCCTTATGGAAGGAACATTCTCTTTTTCTCACCCATTCCCATTCTTAGTTCATCTACTTCAGTTTATCTGACAACTGGCACTCCTGGCCAGACCACCAGCATTTGCCTTGTGTACTAGTTAGGCAGATCAATCCCATGCAGGGCCGCCTATGCCTTACCTGGATGGAAGAGAGCATGAAATGACTTCATGATGTGAAGACATTGTTTCTTCTCCAGTCTTGCCCGTGCCACTTAATTGAGAAGTCTCACTTTCCCTTGAATCTGAATGAAATGATTATAAAGTTAGAATGAAAAAAGAATAGTCAAGAACTCTTGGATATCTTTGAAGAGTAAAGTGAGACTACTTCTAGTAATAGAGGTAGGTGGAGAGTATGACTAGGCAGGGCAGGGCAATGGCTAGCAATGCATAATTGACAAATACAGTAATTTAATATTGTACTTTAAGGAGAATTACAACTCATAGAAGTTAAAGGAGCAATTCCTTAAGTGCATAGCAAATATTAACCATTCCAAGGAACAATTCTAGTCTCACTTCATAACAAGCATTGGGTAAGAGTAAGAGATTAAGTAGATAGGCATACTTTAAGGAGGAACCACAAATTTCTAGCATATATTTTGAAAACATAATTAGATTCAATCACATAACATAAGCATAATCAAGAACCTAAAAGAAATCCCATTGGCCACCTCCAGCCGTTATCGTCAGTCACAGCCCAAATAGCTGATTGCCTGTCTCCCCTTACTCTGTATTTCATTTCTTGCCTGATAGCTGCTTTCCATGCTAGGCTGTGACCCTGGAAGAAGGCATGCCTCTGTCTTTTGCACAGCTGTCCTAGTATATATATAACGGCTGAAGGTTATAGAGCTCCACAGAAGGGGGATGAGCTTTATTCTCCAACAGGTGGTGAAATAATTATCAAACACTCATAGAATGGTAGCCATAAAAATAATGCATGTAGTTTTTCTTTATAGGATGCCAAAATGTTCACATTCTGATGTAATGGAAAAACAAGCCTGAAACAGAGCATGCTTTCAACATGCAAACACAGAAAAGAAAGCATATACTGTTTGTCTATTTTTAAGATACACCATTGCATTTCCATTTCAGTAAGAATAAAAAGTGGTCAAGATGGAGAGTCCAGGAGGATTGCCCGTATACACGAGCCACCTACACAGACAGCCAGGTAAGGAAGCTGCTTGTGTCAGCTTTGTCACTAGGAGAAGGGAAGAAAAATCTGACCTAGGAATCCGAATTACAAGGCAGTGTTGGAGCTAGCTTGCACTGTGAACTGCCAGTGCTGTTCAAGGAACCTCCAAACAGATTTCTCTCAGATTAGTCTCAGGTTGGTGGTTCCTTCTGATGGCTGCCAAAGCAACCAGAAGGCTCTGTGACAGCCAGATCTCAGCAACAATTGCCCAACACCTCAGCAGAGTTAAAAAATGGATGCATTTGGGGGGCTGGAGAGATGGCACAGCGGTTAAGAGCACTGGCTGCTCTTGCAGAAGACCTGGGTTTGATTCCCAGCACCCACATGGTGGCTAACAACTACCCTTAACTCCAGTCTCAGGGGACTCCAGCATCCTCTTCTGACCTTTGCGGGCATTGCACAACATAGGTGCACTTACATTCATTCAGGCAATACACTCATAAAATAAAAATAAATATTTAAAAAAATGGATGTGGGCCAGGTGCTGTGGCACACACTTTTAATTCCAGCACTTGGGAGGCAGGGACAGGCAGATCTCTGTGAGTTCCACTCCTCTGTAAATAAACCCCCACCCTATGCTCTGTTAGCAAGATAAAAAAAAAAAAAAAAAAAAAAAAAAAAAAAAAAAAAGAATGTGTTTTACATTCTAGGATTGATGGGATAAGACAAAGTCTTCACAGTCTGGGTGAACCCATTTTGAAATATTAATAGCTGAATCTAGGATCTCTGAAAATGACTGACCTTTGCTCTTGGCTTTCGTACTTCTTCTCAAGGAGAACTCAGTAGAGGCAGAGATTAATCTGATGGTTGGGTATAAAACTCTCTTTCAGATTGTGACTGTGTGCTAAAAACAGGTGCTGTAACTACCATTAACACTTTTTAGTACCTACCGTGTGCAAGATACGAGGTAAGCCTGGCAAGCAGGCCTGTGCCACAGAAGTAAGCCTCCCATTCACCTCCTGAGCTGACCCGTCTCTGTTGAGAACCTATTATGCAATCACTAGGAACATAAGGTTAGGCAAGGTGGCTGGTATACCAGAATGTTGTAGACATAAACCAAGACTGAACATGGCTGTGGGGTTCAGCTTGGAAACCTCTTGTTTTTTTATAGAAAACTGAATGGACTGGAGGTTATAAGTTTATCTCTGGGTATATGTTCAGCCTGAGGGCGTTAAATTAGGTGCTGGGAGAGGCACACTTTTCCACAAAGAGGACAAGTTCTTTCTCAGGTGAGAAATAAAAATCCATCTGCCCTAAACCTCCATTTTATTAAAAAGTATTTGCGTGCCTCAACCTCAGAAGCTTTGGCTTGGCCCAGTCTTCTGAAAGTCGGCTTTGGTGCCTGGCCTAGATTGAATGAGAGCTGGCCCTGGCTTGGATTATTCATCCTGTCTCCTGGCTCCCAACCCCATTGATTGATTGAGATAGGCTCTTAATTTGCCTTTAAGGGATGGGGGCAGTTGAACTAAACAACAACAGCAGTCTCTACTTTTCGGGGTAAAATGTTTAATTGTTATACTGTAGGTCTCATCATTTGAGACAAAGCAGCAGCTGTGGACAGTCCTGAGGCTCTTCTTGGGGACAGGATTAAGTCATATTATCATTGCAGCTCTGGTATGTAGAACATGGATCTTCATAGAAGCCCCCTGGAGTAACAGGTAACATGTAAATCAGTTCTTGTCAGAAACCAGGGCCTTCCTGAAATGTGGGTGAATTGTATGTCTGAACAATGGTTTCTTGCTGTCTTATTTACCCCATGATTTTAATGACTGTTTTCTTATGCATACCTCTGTTACTTAGCCACCAGATTGACCCCCAAGAGTTGAGACATTCAAGAATTTATTTTTAATTATAGAAAAGGGGTTCACAGGCAAGCCTTAATTTCCGAAGCCATAGGCTTTAGACTGTTGTCCCATCCCCGTGTCTTCTTTTTCCTAATCTTTTGTAGAACACCCACCCCAAACCTCCCAGTTCCATACCTTCAAGTTGTATATACACCAGAAAATAAACTCCTGATTTCCATCCCAATCAGCCCTGTTACATAAACTGGAGGATAAAATTGCCAAATAGCAACCCTCTAGTCCTTTCCAAGTCTCAGTCCAGCACACATTCCCAGCACCTGGGAAGCTACAGCTTCTCAGCCTCACTTCCTGGCTTTAGGATTACATAATCCATGTAGCACCGTCCTGACCACCAGACTAAAAAATAACGGTGACGTACAAGAATTCACAGCGGTACGGTTTACCACCGAATCCTAGGAAGGAAGGCGCTTCAAGCCGTGCGCAGGTGGACAGACACAGGGATGCGCGTGCTGCGCCCCACGCTCCGGGTCTGGAGCACCCACATACACAGGAGCAGAGCTTGAAGCCTTTGACCAGGCCCTGGGGCGCCGGCGCAGTGTAGGGCGGCTCTCGGGACCCGGCGGGCGGAGAGGGGCGCAGCGGGAGCCGGCGGAAGCCGCAGGTGTGGCCCGGGGGCACCGGGAGCGGCGGGCGCGGGCCGGCCGGGAGGGGAGGAGTGCCCGCAGCCCGCCCCGCCCCTCGCGCCCCGGGCTCCTCCTAGCTTCGCCATGGTGGAGCAGGGAGACGCGGCGCCGCTGCTGTGCTGGGCCGAGGGCCCCGCGGTGTCCCTGCCGCAGGAGCCCGAGCTGCAGGCGGGAGGCTGGGCCCGGGGCGGTGGCGGCAGGAGCGGACGGCTGGCCGCGGAAGCACCCCGGAGGCGGGAGCCCGAGGAGCCGGCCCCCTCCGAAGTGCTGCTGCAGCCCGGGCGCCTGGAGCTGGGCGACGTGGAGGAGGACCAGGTGGTGGCCGTGTTTGTGGTCACCTTCGATCCCCGCTCGGGTGAGAGCCGCTCCGGGATGGGGGGGCCGGGGAGCCCTCTGGATTTCCGGGGTGCTCTGGGAGGACTCACTGCGCGCGCGCGCACTCGCACCCGCACACCTGCAGCCCCTCCCCGCCTGCCCGGGTCCCCTGCTGCGGGGCACCCGGAGCGCTGAGAGCGGGGTGTCCCGGACCCCGCGCGCGGTATAGGGTGCTGCCGGTGCTTTGGGGGGGGGTCTCCGAGCAGCCTGGAGCTTTGTTCCCCGACCCCGAACCTCGGATCGTCCCGCTGTTGCCCTCGGCTCCCGTGTCCCCACGCTCCGGTTCGCACCACTTCGGTGCGGAAGGGTCCGGGTTGGGGCTCTGGGCACGTTGGCTTTTGTTTTCTTTCTTTTCGTGCTCGGCTGGAAGGGTTTTTTAGACGCTGGGAGGAGCAGAGCCCCCCGCGAGGGCCTCCCCAATGCTCTGCTCCAAGCGCCCGGCTTTCTGCGCCCGCCCTCGCTCCCACCACCTAAGTTTCCTAGCCGTCAAGTTCACTTTCTCTGATGGCATCATTTTGAGGAATTCACGTCCAGGGCTTTCAGGGCTAGGGCTGAGGGATTCCGCGAAGTCTGGATGAAGGAGAAGCCTTCTCTGGCAGGCTTTCCTTCTAGGGTTTTTGCAGAATTATTAATTGACTATGTCACTTCATCTCGGTCCTGACCCCCCACTGTGGGCGTATGAATTGTAACCGAGAGAGACTCCGTGGGGGAGGGGGGCTGAATGAAACGCCGTGGCTCTCCGCAGGTTCTCGGCTAAGTCTGAGAGCTCTTCAGCTGGTTGGTGTTGGAGGGAGATGCTCCTGGTAGAGGCGGAGCTCGAGCGTTTAAGAACACCCGGCTGAATCCTAGTAGGGTTCTCCTCCGAGTTGCTTTTTCTGAGGGAGGGATGTGTTTTGTTTTTCTGGAAGTTCCTTCCTGGCCCTTCAACCCTGAGGTTAGGGATGGGATGGGAGGAAAAAAGATTCGGATTTCGTGAGAGGGATTCAGATGTGAAGGAAGATGGATGGTATTCTAGGCAGGGTGACTGTGGGCCGCCGACAGATGTGGCTCTCACTGAGGTGAAGCCCTTCTAGAAGCAGGGCTTGTGGGAAGGAGAATTTAGCCTCTGAATGTTGTCCATTGCTTTGCCGCATTTCAGTGACTTTCAGACCTTTTTTGACGTGGACCCGCCATATAAAATTATCTTTACACCACAACCAGTATATTTACATCTTGAGTACATACATACCCAAATGAAGCCAGAGTTTGGTGAACTAGTACTGACCCTTTCTGTTCTTTTTTCTTAATGTTCATCACACATCCTGGTTGACTCATAATTGGGACTCCTAGACACAAATGATTTGAAAAATATTGTTTTTTAACAACGTAACTCTTAAAGCTAGACAAAACACACTATCACTAATTGTATGACTGAGTTCTTCTGCATACACAGCTAGATAAAGGTAAGCTGAAGGTCACTCTGGGAGGCATTTAAGAGATGCAGAAGAATTGGAAAGGAAACAGTGGTGCTCCCAGGTGATAGAGTCCAGGGAAGGGGGAGAAAAGTCCTATAATATTCACAGGTAGAGATAAAATCAGCTGTTGATCATTTATTGGCACTGATCAGTTATTAGTATTCAGCAGTTGATCATGAATACTGATCAATTCATAAAAGTCCCCAAAGACCTCAGACCCTCCATGTGTTGTTAACTTTGTTTAGTTTTGGGGGGAAAGCAGCTGCTTCCTGTCTGCAAATTTGTCTCTATTACCATCTATCCCAACCCTAAATGAGACTTCTCATCCTGTGAATGCACTGGTAGTGCACATGGAAAACAAAAGTATATGGCATATCTCTTAGCAATAGCAGAGGAGTGAACAGGCCTCACATGTTGTGCCCATGTTATGGCAGTTGAAGAAGTGGAGTTCAAAGAGGTGAGGCTGGAGGTTGTCCTGCAAGACCAGAATTGTGTCTCCTGATTTTAGTTCAGGGTTTGGACCATGCGCCTGATTCCCACCCGCTAATTAGTGTTGGTCACCCAGACTTCACCCTTCCAGCCTGCATTACCAGAGTAGTAAACTGCTTCTTTACCTAACTCAGAGAATATCACGTTGTTAGTGGGAAGGCTGTTTCAGTTCCTCCCTCTGGTCTGTCAGTCACTTCCCTGTGTTTTTTCAGTTTTAGGAGCTGTCCTAAGGCAGATCACATGCCCAGGCCATAGGCATTTCATGCATCCTCTTACTCAGCATGGGTTGCTGTTGGCATATATCCATATTGGGGCGGGGGAATGAATATGAAGGTAGAAGGAAATAATCCAGAGCTGTGGCATGTCTGTGAGACACTGATGTAAAATAATGTATGTATTTGTTACTTTTCTACCTACTGTACAAAATACCTGAGAAAATCAACCTAAAGAAGAAATTTTTTTTTTGGCCCCTGATTTGAAGGAATACAGTCCATCATGACACAGAAGGCATGGTGGTGGGAGTATGAGGTAGCTGGTCACATTGCATGCATAGTCAGGAAGCAGAGAGATGAATGCTGGCACTCTGAACCCCCACCACCACCCCCCACTCCCCAGATGGTACTACTTCCCCCAGTCAGGGTGAGTCTTCCCTCCTTAGTTAAATGTCTCTAGAAACACCCTGACAGACACTCCCAGAGGTGTGTTTCTTAGGTGATTCTAAATCCAGGAAGGTTGACAATGAAGATTAGGCATCACAGGGAGAATGTGAAGAGAGGTGGATCCTTGTTATAGAATGTGCATGCATGGATGAGGACAGGAGACGCACACAGATGATTCTCTGATGAATGCAAATGACAGAGTAGTTCTTTCACACCTTAAGTGCAAGCTTTGGAAAGCGGTGCTGGGCATCTGTCAGAGAAATTGGAGAAGGTAGAGACATGATTATTTTCAATGGACTCCTAGCTCACAGATTGAAAATTAAGAGACTTGAAGACCAAGGATTTCAGGTTCAAGGTGAGGCATACACACACACACACACACACACACACACACACACACAGAGTCTTTATCTGGAGGAGGGAGCTGTCGGATGGTGGTGCTGGCCATCTGGGCTACAAAGCTGCTATTGAGACCAGGCCCAGATGCTAACTTGGCATGTGGTATAGAAGAGGTTGGCAGCCAGAATATTGCTTTTTTTTTCTTCTTGTGTTCAATCCCATGATTTAGGGCTTTATTTTAATTTTGTTATTTGAAGTTCTAGTAAAATTTTCTTGCTTGATTAAGGAAGAAGGTATCTTCACACTTGGGGTAGCCTTACAATGGTGACTGGAGCTGTCTCCTAGAGTTATTGAGGCTGATGAAGCTTTAGCCCTGCGGTTACTAGCAGGTCACCTATGAATCTGCCTCCCAGACCACTTTGTGAGATTCACTTGCACTGCTGTGTTTCACCTGGGGTTATTTTGTGGGTGTTTAGGGGAAGTTCCTGTGTGTGTGATGTTTGCCGTGGGCTGGTTCAGAAGGGAGATGTGGGCAGGGCAAGTCACCTGGTGAGGTTTTTAAAATGTCTTCTTTTGTTCTTCCCAATTACAAATGGATCACCTGTTCTCTCTGTCTCTAGCCAGGGCCCAAATTATAAAAACACCTATTCACTTGTCTGAATGCCTCTATGCATCTGCCAGGTGACTATGTTAAAATCAGTTATACACACAGCCAGGTATAGCAGTGGTATTAATTTTAATCTTTGTAGATTCTCTGTTCAGTCAGGGAAATAGAAGCAGAGCAGATGGAAAGGCACCAAGAGATTAGGGCTAGGTCTGGTACCCTGGGCATAACTGGGAGTGGTGCCCAGGCCATCTGACTCCTTTCAGCTAATAAATGGCCTCAGTAGTGGGAGGGACATGACAACATGGAAAGCAAATGGAAAATTTGGAAATGGTCAGAGCAACCACAAGAATGGCCAGCTCACAGGGAGGGAAAGGGAGAGCCATTCTGATACCTAACAAGAATGTCTCAGGAGAGGATGAACTCTGTCACTGCCCTTTCTCTGTGTTTTCCATCACCTGTCAGTGGCCTGCAGTCATGGTTGATTGGAATATAGTTGTGGTTATTGATTAATGCCACACCACAGAATCTTTCCTGGGGTGTCACCTGCTTTGTGGTTTTTGGGGAGAAGTCAGTTTGTGGCCATCTGTTGTAAATTCAGTTTCTTCCCCTAAAGTCTACAGAGAGAAAAGTAGGGTAGTAGTTCCAATAGCTACCACTTAGTGGGTATCCATTGGAATCTCAGGAACTGTACCATGGCATTCAAGGACTACCTCTGATCCCCTGCAACAGTCTTCATGTGAGAAGATACCCAGGGCGGTGGAGCGCACTACAGTCAGTGTATGAGAAGCCTGCAAACTAGAAAGTCTTTCTACATAAAATTAGTGCATTGGAATTCAGCCATGGGCTGACATATGGCTACCTTGCAATATGCCAGGATGAATTTCTGCCTGACTCAAAGCTTTCTGTATTGTCTTGTCCTGTCATTTTGGTTGGGTTCTTATCTAGGGGGGTGTAAGACTACATTAAACACATAAGACCCAAAGTCAGTTGATATAGGCGGCTAGGGACTGCATCAAGCACTTTTAGAAGTTTCTTCTATTTCTAGGATTTGGTGGACTACTGAAAAAGTGATTATATGAAGGAAATGGATTGGGACCAACGGTGTTTCTGATTCTTGCCTTTATTATTATTTTTTTCTTTTTGTTGTTTTGAGATAGGATCTCTCACTCTAGCCCAGGATGACCTGGATCTCACTATGTAGACCAGGCTGGCCTCACACTCAGGGCACTCATCCTATCTTGACCTCTTGTATACTGGAATTACAGATATGAGCTACTACACCTGGATCCTGCCTCAGTCTCTGAGACAGGATTTCCTTTTACCTCCTGGCCAAAATTAGGGCTCATATGTAAGTGCTAATGGGTGGTAGAGGATGGAAGGAAAAAAAGTCAAGACTCAAGTTGGAGAGAAAATTGTTACAGAGTTCCATCTA